TTTTGCTTCTGCTCAGTGATTTTTTGTTTTTCTTTTTTTTCGCTTCAGAAGCTTAACGAAACGTTTCTAATTGCTTTCAGATGCGCTAAGAGGCAAAAACGAATGCATCGAAGCGTTTGAATGTGTGATTCTCTGTCAAATATCCTTCCTTCGTCTTCCATCGTCTTTTTCTTTTAACTAAACAAATTATATCCATCCGTATATCCAAAAGCTTACTTACTACACTACGAAAAGCGACCTCGATGCGTTCGTTTCATGTTATTTGACTCTTCTTTTCCTTTTATCAAATAGAAGAACAGAATTTATGACTCGTGCCAGTCTGTGTACACTGCATCTAATTTTTACTTCCCACTGTTTTTGCTTTTATTCGCTTTTATCTCATTTTCGGCAATCTTCCGGTGTATTCTATCCAAATTTCTAGAATTTCAGTCGCCTCTATTCCATTTCCTTCAGATTTATCCCACTTTTTCACATTTTTCAATTCCATTTTCCATTCGTTCACGCTTTGTGTTCGTTTGTGCCTTTCTCTGTTGTCCATGAGTGCTGAAAATGATATAATGAAAGTGTAAATAGCGTTTTCCAATTCCATAAGATGAGATCCAATCCATTCATCGTGACAAGTTTCACCTCGTTCAGCAGGTTAATTGATTGAAAGAGTTTCTTCACAGATTGCTTTTTTGTCCATTTATTGAATATTTCAATTCGGTAGGCAAAAATATTATTGGAAAACGCAATTGGTTCCGATGAGAGTGGTGCGAATTATTTAAATGAATGTTATTGCATTAAAAACTTGTGAATTAGTTGTGTCCATTTTATTGAATACACTGAAAGTTAGTGAAATAACATTTATTTGAATCGATTTGATCATTTTTCGCTGTGCAACGATAATATCTTGTGTGCGACGTTGTTAATACTAATTAGAAAAAATTTAAAATGAATAACGTTGAGTGCGTATTAATATATTTGTAGTAATGCAGTAGTCTTACTATTACTTGCAATGGTTACTGCTGATTCAAAAGGAATGAAATTAATGTAGAGGCGATATTAATCTAGTGATTATAAGCACTCGTTCATATAGTAGGAATTGTAATACCCTTGTTGGATCAGTAATACTCGATTAATAATTTTGATGTGTTACTATTGGTTTAGCATGAATGAATGAATGTTGCGTTGTTACTCGAAGATTAATCGATGCGTATTCCGCAAAAAATTGCAAAAATTTACAAATTTGTCCAATCCGTGTGTGAAAATCAATTATATTGCCTTAGAAAATAATCCCCATTGATTGCCAGCGTGAAGCGATTCATCCGCATTAATTTCAACATCTTTATAGAATTCGACCAAATTGAGAATTGAAATGAATTCAATGAGAGTTTTCGTGTTGCATTCATCCTTTAGTCTGTCCTTGCATTAGTTTTTTACGCCGAATACCATGGAAACATGCTACGAAATGAAAACTTCACATTCGCGAATGAATGTTCTCTGTTTTCTTATATATTCCTATCGTACAAGCAGACAGTGCGATAAGTGATCTAATAATGGATTGCATTGCAGGAATCGATGAAAAAACGACAATGTTAGTTAGCATCCGAAGAAAACTATTTCATTTCATTTTTCGCATTTTATTGATTCGGAAATTGAAATCGTTTTTCTGAATCCAGAAAAAATCACGAAAAGAACGAATCTATAGCAGTGAAAGGAAACGTAAAAAAGAAAAATCCAACAAGAGCTCTGAAGAATCTTGAAAAAAAGTGTGTCATCGTTAGATTCACTATTATGATCTTACCGAACAATGGAGGAAATTTCCATTGCAAGCCGGAACAGCCCATAAAAATGCAGTGAATAATGCGACGAATGAATGGAATCAATCAGTGCAATGAGTCTTTCAGAGTCGTAAAATAAAATCAAGCGAATTAATTTATCACCATCACGATGCACTGTCAATCGTTTCGTTTACATACTCATTATTCATCGTGTTTCACAGACAATGCACGTAGTAACGCTGAATTTGAACTGATTCGGTGACAAGCGATCGCTTGAACGATCCGATAAATTTGAAATACTCGTTTATGTAAAACGCTCGTAAAATATAATTGATTCGTCTAGAATGTGAAGTGCAAAAAATATATGTTTTGGTAGAGAAGCGACACATAAAATATCATGTTATCGAATGATACATGCATAAATCGAATAGTTATAGTTGTTATTGTAGTCGGTCAGTGTGGTCTGGTACCCTCCAGGGACATTCAAACGTTCAGTGGTGCTCTATCGAGTGCTGCTGTGCTCCGACGGATTCGATTCGATGTCGACGTCAAGTTTTGCGGTGTCGTTGCAAAGTAGTCAAAATGATTCAATTGAAGAGTATTTAACATCGTCGTCATCGTTCGATATTGAGCATGAACACCCTCAACTGCAGCCACAAGAACAAGAGCAACACGCTCAACAAGAATTTCAAGATTGTCACGATGAGAGCAATTTCGCTATGAACAATTCATCTTCAACTCAGGTTTGTTCTTGTGATCACTGGAAATTTGATGTGAACACATTGAATTAAATCTAATGCTTGTAGTAACTTCCATTTTTTGCGATAATTTTTGCATTTTGTGACGCAACATTTCTTGGCTCATTTTTCCTTTTCATCTTTACAATGAAATGGTGACGATAAACTTGGAATTGCGCACTCAATCGTGATGTTTGTTCACATGAGGAGAGTATGCAATTAAACGGAACAAATCGAATGGACGCGTGCAGTGTGGATTAATGATAATCATTATTCATTCACTGCTTCGCGATTTTAATTGGGTATTACTTGAGCATGAGCTATTTTAGGGAACGTTCTTGCAGAAATTTTGTGTCACGCTCACAGAGGAACGGATTTGAATTTAGAATGCACTAAAATGCACGAAATAAAATTGAAGCCGGTGACATTTCGTGAAGGTAAAGTAAGGAATTTCCTTTAGCAAAAAAAACGATCTCATTGATTTAAAACACATAATTGGAATTTTTTGCGCCAAATGGCACTCATTACAATTCAATAGGTGTTCCGTGAAATGCAGTCAGTCATTAATATAAAGTAGTCGTTTTTCGAAAATTGATCGTTTGAATTTGTAGCGAAGTGAATTCATTGTTGGTCTGTCAGACCGTTTCCATAGCAAACAACTGCTGGAACTGCTAATAGCTCAGCTGTGTTTGTTATTGCCATTACTTGCTTATCCTTAACAATGTTATTGTTCGAGGCATCAGCAGCATCACGGCACTACAATCAATTATTTCCGAAATAGCAATTATTGTTATTATCGCTGTCAATATCACCAGTATTATTCGACTTCCCAAAAGTATTCGTAACACCATGAGCAATGAAATTATTATATGAGCTCGAATTAGTATTTTTGCTCACTGATATTAAGATCGACCGAATTCACAATTAAGCTGATCATAAGTGAGTATGGGATTTGATTTAATAAGATTTAGTTGCGAGAAGGTGAATTGATAGTCTTCAAATGCTTCAGTGACGGTTACACTTATAAGTAATGCTTTAGTGCAAGGAATGTATTTTTATGATTAGCCATAAAATTGAGATTTACTTTTTGCTTTTGGCAATCCAGATATATCAAGATTCAAGTGAAGATTTAGAGTTGATATCGAATATTGTTATTCTTTTTGGAACCTTCGAGTTATTCCCTCACTAAATTTGATTTGTTTAACTTTTCACTGCACAAACGAATCAAGAGGCAGTTGCAAATGCACTGCTCATGCATGTCGCAGTTGTACAAATTTGATTAAATTCATCCAACTTGTTTCATCTCAGTTATAATTGCTACATATGGAACACATTAAGAGATATTGGCCGTCATTTTCAATAAGTCAGTGAGGAAAGCAAAACTGATGAATTCGCAAAAAGTTTGCAGAAATAATTAATCGAATCAACAATCAATCATCGTTGTTGTTCGGATGATGAGAGTTTACATATCAAATGTCACAATTTCGGGTTGAATCAACAATAATTCTGTGAGAAAGTACATCTGAAAATGACCATTATGCACTCTGCAATATAAACAAGTAATTGAAACATTTTGAGTGGGTCATTTGCGAATTCAGCATGCTGCATTCATCTATTTTAGTAACGGTTTTCGCTTGATGAGTGCTGAGGATGGAGACGAGTTCTCTGATTGTGAAGTGCTTTTTTGTTGATGTATCAGAGTTCTATTGAGTGGTTCATTTTTTTGTGTCGATACTCAAGAGATTCGAGACTTATACACTTAATCATCGTTGATTGCTTCAGGAAGAAGAAATCTTCAATCTCTGTCAACTCATCTCCAAGCAGCAAACCTCTGGAAGGATCTCTTTTGACCACGTCTTTTCATTTTCATTAGACAACTGTCCTAATCCGATTTTCTTGGACACTGGTGAAAAATCTACGAATCGATTGTTGTCTGCTTGTTTCATTGTTTTCGAACGATGCACTTCGGCTTGAACCTAAATGATTTTGAAATGCACGTAAACAGTGACAATTTCTGTGAGTAATCAAGGAAGGTTGCATCTCAAATTGCAGCGAATGTCGCTAACGAGCAAAAGCGATTTTTGTCGCGTTATAGCTTGTTGACATTGAAGAAATGGTCATGTGCAGCTTTCGTATGGTCTGAAAATGGTGAATAATATGATATTTGAATGTAGCGCTCATGCTTATCACAAAACTCATCGCAAAACTCACCGCATCGCCATTTGCGTCGGTTGATCTGCGGTCATTGTGTAGTGACCAAGCAGTATTTTGCAAGCGAATTGCCGATACTGCATTAATCTTGTAAATATTCATGAATGCTCACTTGTTTTTGTTCGTTCAATTACTGCAAACGGATTATATCAAATAAAGTAGAACAAATGAACGATTAATGGTTAGAATTAAACACGCCGCAATTGCTGACTGCTCAAATTTTGTCGTATTCTTTTTTTCCGTTATCGCGCGTACTGAAAATCGAAAGAGTAACCGTAAATGTCGAGTTAGAACAAACATATCACCCCATTCATTTCAATTCGAAATGTTGTTTGCTCGTTGATTCATAAACTAGGAAATTCATCATACCTTAAATGTGCAGGAATAAATTGATGCTGATGGCTTTTCACTTGTTCAGTCATTCACTCATTTGTTTCGCCAGTTATTATGGCGATTTATCAGCAGCAATATACCACATTATCGCAGTTTACTGTCGCATTCTTTTCCATTTTCTTATCAGAATAGTATTCAGCAGTTTGAAATAATGCCGACGGATCATCAAGAATTTCGAATTGAGTGTATCTCGAGTGATGTCAGTTGATAACTACCTAGATTTTCATTGCATTTGAGCTTAATATAAGCGATTTGTTTCTTAATGTATTGATGGTGAACATAGTCAAGAACATTCGATTATGCAAGCGATGTTATGCTGAGTCAACAATTCGAATGATCTCTTGTTACCAGGAATTTGATCTTTTGTTTGGTAAAATCCTTTAAATACAGTAATCTTTATTGCCTAACCATATGCACCTAAAAGATTGCTTACAATAAGACACGAACATGGACTCACTTAAAATGAGTGAGTTTAGCATAGCATATGCCGTTGGAACAGCAAACGCCGGAAACACTCAACTGTTGTTCACAGTTCATGTGTACTTGTGCAAGCAATCAACTTCATTGATTCGATGACATCTAATTCAGCAGAGTTAATGCGGTTGAGTGAGTTGTACTTCGCCACTTCAGAGATCACGTAATGGATTGGTAAAGATCATCTCTTGAACGACCACTAGTTTGTTAATTTATTTAGTGAATGTTCCAGCCAATGATCACTACATCAGAACAAAAACAACCTCAGAAGACATCGAAGACTGCCATCGATTCTCGTTTGCGATATGTCATTATCACGTTCACGATTCTCTTAGCTTCAATTATTTTTTTTATGGCTACAAGAATTATTTTTACGGACCAAACGCATTCAGCGCCGATCACTTCATTCCAAACTGCCACTAAAAGGTGATTCCAAGCGTTTTCCGAACAAATTAAGCCCACAAACTTGCCGAGCTCATAATCAGTAAAATCAATGCAAGTTTCAGGACCATACTAGACGATGGTTGTAAGTATCTAGGATTATCGTATACGGCCGCCAGTCAAGGCGGTGGTATTGGCAATCAGCTATTTGAATTTATTTCGTTGATTGGAATCGCGAGAACACTCAACAGGTACTGACTGATATCCACTACACAAGGGATTTGTTATGAAAAGGTGGTCGTTTTATTGCATAAACGATGCGATCACATCAATTCTGGTTCACTCTCAGTAATGTAGGAAACGAGAGCATTTGATACACAAAAAGATTAATGAGAATGTGATTAATAAATTAGTGTTGAATAACGTTGTGATCAAGATCTTATGCTATGAGACTCTCAGCGCTTCACTTACTCGTTTCGCGTTCAATACAAGGGATTATCACGATTTGTCAAGGGGTTTCCTATTTTCAAATGCGGAACTTTGCAGGATACCATACGTAACTGCAACCAATTTTGCTACAATCAAAAAGCTGTATCAGCTTTCGAAGTCATTCCCGAATCTTCCGCATCAGTTTCGTGTACTCTTTCCTAAGGTATCTGACCGAACAGAGCATTTCTCTGCAACTTTGATTATGTGCTGTCAATCACAATAATAATAAATTGCGCTGTTCTCACTACTCAAACCACTCCAAGAAGTCAGAACTCACTGAAACTTATGAAAAAAGAAACGAAATTCTCCGAAACAGTCAGTGGATCTCGTTTTTCGAATTCCATCGGCGTGTATCCGACGAATTTTATTTATCCAAAATTTGGTTTCCATTTTGTTTCGTCTTCGTATTTTTTTGACGCAAAATACTGGAACAGTCATTAAAAGTACCAGTGTGTATCGCAAGTTTCTACAAATTCGTTTATCATCGCTGATTCCTCTGGCAATCCATCAGTTGTACTTAATTGACCTTTAATCTCAACATTGTTGCTCATCATAATCAAATGAATTCAGCTGCTCAAACGGAATACAACCAGTCTTACTGATGGTCGATGTTGTGTATATGGTGATGTGAAGAAGCTTTTTGCATATCATGACTATCAAGAAATTTATTTGAATGATATGTACTTACAGGTTTCTTACTGTCAAAAATACCTTACAAGTCGAATTTGCGCCAGAGCTTGCACTCTTTCTTGCTTTCAACGCATCACATCGAGATGTTTCTTGTTCGGATCTCTCATGACTATCCAAATATGCTCAATAAAACAAGAAGATTGCGTGCGTGACTGTTCAGAGTGTTAATCGTTTCAGAGCTTTAAATACTTTATGAACATATCCGACGAAGTGCGCTCCTCAATTCTTTCGATCGACCGTTCTACACGACTTATTGCATTCACTCAACTCTTCAATCGAACTGTTTTTGATAACCAAAATTACAAGTGAGTTTTCTTGCCCGTAATGATCACATTTCGAATGGTGAAAGTACGTACCAGTTACTGCATGGGATTGTCATCATTTTAGTTCGGAAATTTAGGCTTTGCGTACATACGCGGCGTACTGATTTTGTCGATTCAAATTTGCATCAACACTCTACGGAAGTGTTTACGTTCAATGCAATCAAACATATCAGCGAGAATGGTATCAGCTTCATTCGATTCTCGTTCTGTGTGCAATCATGGATCGTCTATGATCAGCTAACTGTTGATCATCCGTAGTGCTCTCACCGTTTCTGTAATTGTTCTGAAAGCGAAATATAGTGATTTGTTCACTAACATTTCGACGATAGGTAC